TAAACGACACTAGATTCTCGACCTTATTTAACAAATAAAATAAAGTTTTAAATCCATCAAAAAGTTTGCGACAAACGCACATCAACCTACTCCAAATTTTGTTTTAACGTCAATAGATTCTCGACCTTATAAAACAAAGAAAATAAAGTTGCAAATCCATCAAAGTTTGATGGATTGACCGGTTAGTACATGCAATAATTGTAGCCGCGTCATAGACGCGTGCGCTTGACATGAAAGTGCTTCGTTTGTGCCCCAGTGACTTTAAGGGTTTTGTATTTTTGTATAAAATCGATGCTGTGACTTGCTCACCGTTTTTGCGTTAAATTTATTTCATAGAACATTCTACCTAGCATAGTGAAACTCTGACATGATTATTCAGCGACTATAGTTTCAAACTTACCTTCAAACCCAGAAAAACGGCTGCACGGCTGTAAGTTAAGAAAACTTACAACCGGCAACGCATTTATAACTCCTGTAGTGTTGTGGGTATTTATGAGCGACGCTGATCACTTACCATTAGGACATCAGTCTGTTCAGTTTCCTCCTATTTCATAAAAAGAAAGTTTGATCCAAGCTCGAACTAAGATAGTATGATTTGTAAACAAGCTCATATTTGAATTTTTTATAATTAATTTGCTTAATATTAATATTACATATGAATACTAAACATGCAATATTAAAATATCGAGAGATATAAGTAATTTCACGATCAATGAAATCGTTGTGAAATCGCAAAAAACGTCCTTTGTTTATTTGTGAAACATTTATTTAAAGGCAAATATTTTAAAACAATGAACTTTGTCGACAAGTAAACGTTGCAAATGTAACGAAAGGGTGGGTTTCGGAGTGCAGAGAGTAATATTGTGTAGTGTCGAGGGCGCTGGGTGGGGGTCGTCAATCGATACGCACCCCTCTGCCCGGCCTAATGCACCCCTAACACGACGGTACACAGCTCGCACCAAACGCAACGCTATGGAAACCATACACTATGTGTTCCCAGCTTAAAACCAGGTCATTTGCATAGTCAGCAGTCAGCCAACTCAGGCTCCAGGCTACTTTGTTAAAAAACACACGCAGAGAAACAGTTTGTGTGGTAAAAAATGTTTAAATATTAAGTAACCTCTTAAAAGCGCTTCCCAAAGCTTTGAATGTAAAATAAGCCACTATTGCATTGGAGACGTCCCCGTGCGGTGCCCGGCGCGCCAGCCCGCTACTCTGCCTCCGAAATGATTTATATTTTATAAAACGGTTTTATGAAATATCTAGCTGATACGCCGGTTTTGCTCGGACAAAATGTATTCCAATTTCGTCCAGTTAGAAAATTGCATTCATATTTTTTACAGTCGCGTTTTATTTTTATTTGTAAAAAAATGCTAGCGTAAATATTTTTAGAATGCGATAGGCTTTTCGGTGATATTTCGAGGGCTGATAACTAGTTTTTGAAATGTCTGATATTCTTTTTGCCAACGTCGTGTTTTAATGTTGCTAGCAGTAGTGGATTCTGTCAGTATCAGTATATCATTATCGTTCACAAAGAGCCGAGCTCGGCACAAATGGACTCAATTGAAATTCTCCTCAAAGACTTCGGTTGCCACTGACCTAAAAACAAATTCCGGAATAGTTAAGTCTGCTTTGTAAACACAAAAGGGTTGCGATCGGGAAAATTCCGATGCATACAAAAAGATAAATGTTGTAACACGAAAAAGCAGTTATTAAAACATTCTTCATTTTTCTTTCATTACTTCCCCTTAGAAGCGCTTTCATCGTTTCTAAGAAAAAAATGCGCTTTGAAGAAAATTTTATAAGGCCGATAGAAAAGTGGTCTTATATTAGTGTTTGAAATGCGTTTGTCGGGGTAATACGTTTTTCTTTGGGTCTTGTTTCAGTGTGAGTAGAAAGTTTTATTATTTTTCTTTAATATTATCCTGGGAGACGATTGGCTGTTACAAAGGCATTGTATTCTATTGAGGGTGATAGTGATCTCGATCCCTACAATAAACGTGGGAGAGCGGCCGCCATTATAATCTATTAAAGTCTCAGATACGAGTGTTGCCTTACTAATGAGATTTTTAAAACGTTTTCTAGCCGATATTTGCTTGGTCATAAATCTGCCAACGTTATATTTTGCTCTTCATAAAGCAGAAAGAAAATACAGTAACATCTATTAGAAACTTTAATTGCCATAATTTCTTAGGGGATAGTTAATCGATCAAATAAAGCTATATGCTCAAATACCGTTACAAGATAAAGAAAAGTGTTCCAAGCCTATTCTATGGAACTAAGATAGACCAGACCAACCATATTTGCATCAATTCACGAGTCATTCTGTCAGTCCCATGTTGGGTGCCAATTTCAGCAATAAAGCTGTGGGTCCCATGTTGGGTGCCAACTGGTAAGCTTCAATTTAAAATGGAATAGCTGGAATATAATTGCCTATTTCTTAGCTTTAAAATATCAACTCTTTTTGTATAGGTAGTCAACAATATTTGATTTTCTCAAATTAACATGTAAAAATAATAATATATAAAATTGTTGAGACACGTTACTAGCGCAAAGCATTGCCTATATTGAAGAAGTTTATTAAATTTTGGTTGCAAAAAATGTAATAAAAAGCCGAGTCAATTGAAGCTAGCAACCGGCGTCAGCGTCGATTTCCACGGAAAACTGATTTCCTGCACGTCTAGACACGTTCTCCCCTTTAAAATCATGTTACACGATTTATTTGATAATGCTGTTTGTAGGTTATATTCCCCACAAATATGTTTATCATTTTCCTACACTGACTCTTGCTGAGCACACACTATATTATTTTGTCCACGACACTTCCAGAAAAGAAGTTAAAATGACAGTTCTCCAATTCGACAAAACTTTCATAAAAAAAATGTTGCCAAATTGGAGAAAGACGAAAAATCAAAAAGGAAATATTGTTAATTTAAATATTTTAGCTAAAGTACATGAGATGACTAAAAAACGTTTTAAATTTTTTTGTGAAATTAATTATGATTGAGCATCAGACATTATTGTTATTGCTGCTTGGACGTAGTTAGTTTATCCTTATCTGTTAAACAATTGAAAATGGTTCTAGGCGACAAGGCTCGAGAATTGATCCAACAAACTAACAATAGTGTGAACCTGCAGCCTAACTTAAAGTGGAGGGGTGAAAGTTGGACATTAAATTAGATGTCTATACCTACCTACACTGGCATTTTTGCCTCCGCCTACGCTAAAACAAAGGGGTAACGTCCCTACTTTACAGCTGTTTTATTACAAAGGTAAAGAAATTATGGGTCTCGTCTCTTTTCTATGTTATTCTGTGTACGAAATGAGACTATTTTGTTAATTCACGAGACACGTTGCGAAGAAGTGCTTGAAGAAATTACTTTTTTATGAATTCGTCATTTTGTAAGGCAAATTGCATTCTACCAACATATCTATGCATAAGGTAAACGTTTTAACATTTATAAATAATAATTATTCGCTGTTGACTTGTTAAAGTACAAAATCTCACCCATTATATCACCTAAAGAGAGAGATTAATAGTTTGGAGTAACGAGAAATAAATTTCCTAAACGATAGCCGAAGAAAGTCCTTAGCAAAGCAAACTTTTCTATTTATATTATTGTCAACTATTTTTGTTACATAATTTAGTTGTTATTTATTGGTATTAAAAAATGGTTGGGTGCGGTGGCTGGGCAACTGGCTGCCGTGCTACTACATGTTGCGGTTTCGATCCCCGCACGGAACAACTCTTTGTGTGATCCACAAATTGTTGTTCCGTGTCTGGGTGTCATGTGCATGTGAAATTGTATGTTTGTAATCGAGCCCACGACACAGGAGAAAAAGCTAGGGTGGGGCAACGCAAAGGCAACAAAAAAAGATATTTAATTCGTTTTGATGAAACTTTCCAACGTGAGACTAAATCGATTTCGACTAGGAAATGACGACGTATGAATACTGAATGCGAGTAACTGTTTTCGCAAGGCAGACGGAATGGTGGACGGTCCATTTCATGCACATTTCACTGTGCGTATTCCAAGACCCAGTGGTCAGGAGCTGGACAATAGCGGACAATACGACATTGAATGCATAAAACCAGTTGTATGACGCACACACACATCGGCGACGCTGCAGGACGTCCATTGAGTGACATTACAAAAGGTATTGTGAGCGCCGGGACTAGTTTATCTCGCGGCCATTCGTTGAGACTGTTCCGCACTGATAACGCTCAAAACGTCTATCATTTGTGGCCACCGCATCATGACACTGATAAAACGTGGTAAACACCAATCTCGTCAGATTATCGTCAAACGCATTTGTTAGTATGCCAATATGCCGTGATTACTTGACTTTCACTTATTTGAATACTTAGTTTGTATGCGTCACAAGGAAAATATCTAATCATTTGACTGCAATAATTGGCATTGTGATTTTCCATTCTTTGCCACGTCGAAACAGGTGTACGTATATGTACCTAAGGAAGAACAAAAATGAGATGGCTTATCCGTTTAGTTCCCGTAATTTATCTTTTAGATAACGGATTTTGTCAGTTTTACTATTGATAGGTAGTAGAGGTTTAAGATAACCTACGATAAGTCAGTCGTGATCTGACCGTGAAATCTTCATATCCAGTAAAATACGTCGATACTCATAAAATCTTATATTTAAAGTGAAATCTGTGAATGATGCCTCCGAAAAAAATCTCACAATGCAATCAAGCCTTAGTTGAACTAATCTATAAACTGGCTGGACTCTATAATATGCAACTGAGTGATTACGTCGTTGAAATAGGGTGTGATGACGTTGATAGTTTTTTGACCGGTTTATTCAAAGTGCAACTGAAAGGAACTGTTCATGGGCAGAAGATAAAAAAGAAATTACTAATAAAATGGCATCAGGAGTCGAAAATGCGGGTCTGCTTCAGAGACGCTTATAAAAGAGAATGCAATTTTTACAAACTCGTCTTGCCAAGCTTATTGGAAGTCCAAAATAAAATTGATAACATGGAAGGGTTGAAAATGAGGTTTCCAAACTGCATTTTTGCTAGTGACGAATACGACAAAGAAACTATCGTGGTGCAAGATTTGAAACAAGATGGATTCGGTCTTCGTGATAGACTTTTTAAGACGAATTTGGAATACGTTTCTCTGGTTATGAGGACTTTGGCGAAATTGCATGCGCTGTCGTATGTGCTACAGAAAACGGATCCTGAGAAATTCGAGAAGATAGCTTGTTTATGTGAAGAAGACGTGCAGTACTGTAAGCCAGGACCTGCTCCAAAAAGTATGCAGTCATACTACGAAGCGTCCGTCCATGTCGTACAAGATGCAGACGCCAGAGATAAGTTGACCAGACTGACTCCAGATATCCTGACGGTGTTGTACAAATGCACTCGGTCTGATAAGTACAGTACCATCTGTCACGGTGACTGCTGGAACAACAATATACTCTACCAACACAGGGTAAGGATAAAATTGTTTTCTTGTTATCAACATCTTAGTTAGTAGAGTTAGTATTTTTGTTAAATTTTATAAACCGGTAATAATTTAAGCTGTAGTAAATCCTACTGAACATTATCAATATTCAATATTGATCATGTTCAGTAGGATTTACTTCTCTTGTTATTTAATACATATCGGCTGGTCAAACTTTAGCAGTTTTGATATATTGTTAAAGTTGATATATCAATGGATTACGGTTAATAAGGGTACTTGATCTATTATCAAGTTAGTCTTTTTCGACATAGTCAGTTACTGGGAAAATGATGAAGATTATTGAGAAAAGATTTCCTACAATCATGTACATTGTTTGCAGGGTTGTAAGCCAGTGGACGTGGTGTTCGTAGACTACCAGCTGATGCGATTTGCATCTCCAGTCACCGATATTGCATACTTCTTATACATGTCCACCGACGGCGATTTCTTAGACAAACATTACGACCAAGTGCTCGACATATACTATGGAACGTTGACAGCTGTTCTCCGACATTGTAATTTGGATGTTAATACTGTGTACCCTAGAAACATATTCGAAAAACAACTCAAAGAATATTCGGTACTCGGTCTGATAGAGGCTTTAGTCTCAATGATGATAATAACGGCACCGTATGAAGACGCCCTCAAAATGACTGAGATGAAATATGAACATTCTGAAGAGGCTCATGAAGATGAGTCCAGGGATAACTTATTGTTTGTAGAAAGAGTTAATGGAATTGTGAACGACTTTTTCAAAAGGAATTATTCTTTAGACGCCATTTTAACTGAGTAAATGATTGTAATAAAAAAATGTTGTCTTATTGTGTATTTCATATTTAGAAAAATTAAGTATTAAGTTTATTTAAGGTAAAACAAAACGCGCAGAGAAATGAGAAAGTAAGTTCGAGATAAGGTGTTTGCCCCTTTAGTAGCTGAGATAATCCTTATTTTAATACTGACGCGGCCATTCTTCGGCGAAAACAGTGTTGTTGGCGAATAGAAGTGCTGTAATATTGGCCATACCTTGTCTTCAGTGGAAGTTTAATCTAGTTTTATGTTTTTATGTCCTCACAAAAGAAATATTAAGGAAAGACGGTCCCGGCCTTGGGAAGGAATTAATTCGTCGTCGCTGCAGTTAATTGTCTGTTACAAAGGTTTTTTCTTTGAATCTCGGTCGAACGAGAATCTTTGTTGGAATGATAATAATGGCTTCCAGAACAGATGGATATTTAACAAACCAAGCTGTGATGGCATTATAAGCATTTATAAGATAATTAAATTGCCCCCTTGAATAAATTTATAAGTAAAATATTTGTTGTTGAATTTATTATTACATTATTTAGTGAAGGTTATTAAAGATCTGAGGTATTCATTCAAAGGCCTGATATATACGTGTGTAGTTATGTTATATATTAGTTTGTTAGTTTACGTACTCAGTACAATGAAAACCTAATTAACCATATTTATCGTAAATGGGTATACACCTGTTAAGTGATAGCTTACTAACTACACACGTTTACTGGCGTGATCGTAAGAAAAAAAGTAATCAAAATCACTTTCTAAGCTAACCTAACTAACTTTATAGACACAAAAATCATCCTTCCCAGAACTTCGTACTAACACTAAGCATAGACAAACAAATACACTTTTATAATATTAGGTAAAATTTACCCGCTATGTTGAATATGCAAATACTAATCATAATTGCATTCACGCCAAACATTAAATTCCGATATAACATTATTTGGCTGCATCAAATTATTCAATGGTCAACCCAAATATTATGCATTGCTAATGGATAAACATGGAAAAGTTTTATATGTAGTTAATATTAAATTTAGTCCGAATTTTAATAGGCAATATGGTTTGTTTTTGTTTGGAATATATATTTACGTTAAATAGTGGTTTGACACCGCATTTATTCAGCAGTTATTAACTGAAAAAAGAAAAAGAAAGCTCTTAAGAGATATATATTTATTAGATTTCTGTTATCATAAAAATAAAATCTTAAAAATATATCTTCGGAACCCATGGGTAAAAATGGTTAAAATTGTAGTAAAGTATAGAATTGAATCCATCACGGTGGAGCACTATTAACGCCACACCCTGTGTAGTAGGGTTGCGGGGTAAGCGCAATGGAGCACCGCGACCTCGGCCCAGAGCAGGAGAAGGAATAGGGGGGTTTTTAGTCAGTAAGAGTCTGACACTCCCTCCCGCCTGGCCCTGGGCGGGAGAAGTCATTTGATGATTTTCCCCTCACAAAAAAACCCTGCGTAGTATAAGTATTAGCCTCTATGATACACTAACTCCAGAAATAAAAAGAAATGAAATGCTTCAAAGTTGTATACATTGAGTATCTTTTGCATATGACAGTTTCCATATGAATCCACAGAGAATGAAAACCTGATTGGATTCAGAGAATAGAATGGTATATTTATATAAACTTAGGTGAAGCTTGAAGATCTAAATTGCTTTTGATTGAACAGACATATATTTATATCACACCACTTGTTACCATTTCCCGTGGCGCTAGTGTACACTTCAAGCATTTTTACACAGGGTGAAAATAAGCTTCATACCATTAACGTTTAATTTGAGACAAATATTGTAATTGAACGAGAAATATAAAAAAAAACTTCGAAAGCAGAAATCTCAAGGAATCTCTCTCTCTCATCTCTCACACTATATGTATAGGTAGCTGTTTGATGAAGTACTCGACTAGTTTCAATCTACGCCAGAGCTCGTATATTCGTGAGCAGTTTTTTTTAAACGACGGTTAATCAGCGGACACCCAAATGCCCAGAGGAGTAATGAGTGCATTGTTGGTGTTTTGGGGATTAGGGTTCTGAGATTTAGGGATTGGGTCAGGTAACATCATACGGCTCAACACAACACTGTGGTCGTTTCACGCCGGTTTTCTATAAGGCCGTGATTTAATTTCGGTCGAACCGACCCAACATTATATTTAACACACTTATACATATTTATAACAGGCCATTAAAAAACTAAATTAATATTATTACTTTCCGTCGCCTCGGTCGCACATTTGCCTAAATTAATAATACTGCGTCATTTTCGATATTTCGAAAACAATTTCCCTTTCAAACTAAGTGGAATTGTTTGCTTAGTTCCTGAGGCGATATTAAATCTTACTTTGTGGCGGTTTCTGAGGGGACTTTGCTGTCGCGTAATGTGAATATATATACTGAATATTGTATTTACGTGGTTTTATTTAAAACGAAATAAGTGTTTCTTGATCTTAAGTTTATGTTGGTGCGAATGGAGTTTTGGTTTCGGCGGTTTACTAAGAACGAAAGCTTCCGCCTGCAGCTTCGCATGCGTTGAAAGGTAACGTATTTGGGATTTTAATAACAGCAACGTATAAAGCGGTAGCTTGACTTAAATTCGTAAATCAAGTATAAATTATAGCCTACTCAGCAACATCGTAGCTATCTATTAGTCGAAGATTTTGGAAATCGCACCCGAGGTTTCAAAGATTACATCACCGATGTACGTAGAAACTTAGGATTGTTTTAAGAGTCCTTATGGTTTAACCCGTGATGAGCGCAGGTATAGGTACGCAAGTCACACTGTGCTTTCTACTATTTTGTCTCATATACCGGCAGACAAGAGGTTAATTAAGGAATTTTAAATGTATGATATGATTGATATATCCATTTAATCACTATGGGAATGTTTAGCGGCCGGGCAGGCCTGCGAATTAACCTGAAATTCGGGGTCTAAAAACGCCGGGTAGGGGTAAAGCTAAATGTTTTATCTCGAAATAAAAGTAAGTGAGAGCGCGTGTCGTTGAAAGTAAGATCATGAAGTAGCCCTAAAACGTCGCACAGGCCGAGTGCCGTGAATTTTGGCCAGCCGAAAAACTAAATCATCTACGCCTTTTTCCGTACCTACGCCTTGTTATATAGGTCTGCCAAATCAACCCTGTTTTTTTATCAGGGAAATACATGAAATAACTTCTCTCGCCCAGGGTGAGGAAAGAGTGTCAGACTCTTACCGACTAAAATCACCCTGTTCTTTCTCCTGCTCTAGGCCGGGGCTGCGGTGCCTCATTGCGCTTAACCCACAACCACGGCTGACCAAATCACTTCTAGATCTTCCATTATGCAGCTTGATTCAAAATAATTTAAAGTAGTAATTATATTTAAAGCATTAAACTACTCTAAAGTGACGTGACTACCAACGTTATTAACTCTAATTGATTTTAATTCGATTTGAACAGCTGTATTCTATTTCGACATTCATTTTATTGCTTTTTGCATTGTTATTGGTTTTGTACTGTTAACTGAAATGTTAGGCACTATCAAGACATTGTTCTATGTTTATTACTTTGATTGTTATAATTTATAGTATACTAGCAACCCGCTCCGGCTTCGCCTGGTTGCAAAGCTGATATTAAATATCTTTACTATTTAATGGATGTTATTGTACATATAAACCTTCCCCTTTAATCGTAGTAAAGTTGTGCCGTTTAAAAGTAAAATTCATACTTACGAACTTTTACCTTACGTCTGTAATATTAATAGTGTGTTTAAAAAGAAGTGAATTAACTTTGTTTTGATATTTTCTTTCGCATGTAAAACCAATTTAAATGAATGTTAGGTCGAAAACAAATGGGAACTTAAAGACGGTTAGAGGACAGAGGATTTTTTGCACGAGTGAAGCCGCGGGCTAAAGAAAGCTATTATGTATTCTCTGCAACGAAATTAAAAGAAAACTCTCAGTGTTTACATTAGCCGCATCTCATTTCCCGGTTGTAGCTAGGTCGGCGATATCGTAAAAAATATTCAGTACCTATTAACTTATCCTTAAAGATTTTTTTACTAATACATGTTTTGTTCTTGAATATTTTTTAAGATTGCGTAGCAAATTCATGAGAGGTATAAGTTGATCCATTGCATTGCCATTAACGTAGGTAAACATTTGTATTTAAGTATTTGTATCAATAAAAACTAAAAAACTATGAAGTTTTAACATTGAGATAGATTCACTATGAGCAATAGTTTATATTAAGTGGTTTTTTGCAATTTAAAATTCTGCATTCTGTTGCGTTATTGATATATAATTGAAATCAGGAAATCTTCATTGGTTTAGTTAAAATTTCACGCAAATTTTTTTAAAGTTTAAAACACCATCTAATATGTAAGTACCCATTATATTTTTCGTATTATTTGATTAAGCAATCAATCAAGCATAATACGCGATTGAGCGCCGACGAAAAACTTGTATTCCCAAAAGATGGATGTCATGAAAAGTTTCAAAGAGGAATCATATCGTTGACCTGTTTCCAAGAGTTTTGCAAACGAAATAATTTCCCTTTATTATCGGACGTATTCGTACAATAAAATGGCGGCGCGTCAACTCGCTCGCTGAATATCAACATAAACAAATGAAGTTTAGTGTCACGACAAACTGTGTGTCTTTGTCACAGATATCAGGAAGCTAGATTGTGCTTGACTGTGTTTTATGTGTGAAATTGACTAAAGCTAGGTAATATATAATAACTAGTTAAATACAAATGTATTTTCTATTCATAGGTTGCTTATGGGTAGGCGTACTCCATCGTAGGCCACATCCTCCCTTGCCAGGCTTGATAGCGGCCTAATGGCTGCCAGCAACGAAATTAATAAAAAATGTTTTAGTAATTACATTGTAAATGTGTGCGTATTGTTAATTTCGAAGTAGACAAATCAAAATTGATTTAACTCATTCATTGACATTGGATTCCCATAAAGAAGTAATAAATTTTTTGAGCCATCAACGAATTGTTTT